TCACCACAATAAAGACAATTGTGTAATTCAACTTTGAACGAGGTATAATCATCACTTGATGCCTTTCCTTTCTATGGTCTAGAAGACAATAGCCTTAAACATTTAGGCTGGTTGTTCCATTGCAATGAATGGCGATACCTTTGGAGGAAAATGTTGCTCAGTGTGAGCACTGGTAGCCAAATCTGTCCTTACAGAGACAGATGACCTATGATTTAATATCACTGGGCCTGATTTTTGTCACTTTTTCTCACATTGAGTACTGCTTTGCAGCCTGACTAGTCTAACCAAACTGTCCCATTGGTATCAGTATAAATAAGGGAGGCAATATCTGGCCCATAGGCACTCTGCTATTTTGTATGACCTGAACATCCACTTATGAAGCACAGTAAGCGATGCCATGATGCCACTCGTTATTGGTGTGTATTGAGCGGAAAAATAATTAAATCACAGACTGTGTGGGTATGTGGCTTTTCATGGGAGTTCCAGATATTTTTGTATATAAACCTCCACTATAAATCTATTTTCCCATCTCACACGTGTTTTTTCCACAATATGTACACCAACCTTTGTCACCCACAACCTGGTATGCATTGCTGCATTTTCTTTATGAAACAGAAGAGACTCTTTGCATACTGCTTGATGCATCCTCAGTGATTTAAATAGCATTTCCCCCCTCTTTCTCTGTGAAAAGGGGCCCGTTGAGGAAAATTCTGACTCCATAGGACAGAAATCTATATTGCCTTCAAAAGCCATTTACAGCATGCAGCTTACAATGTCTGGGGTTTTTTTTAAACAGTTTGAACACTTCATGGTGCCCCAATTTTTATCTGCCTCTTCAGCAATCTTCAGCACCGGGTGCCTGCCTACACCTGAAAAATGACCTAATTCACTTTGTCTTCCTCCATGAGGACTGTCCATAATTTTCTGTGTTGTCAGCTCTCATGACTTTAGAATGAGCCCTGTTGTAATTTGTATGTTGCTCCTGTATTTTGTGTATCATCTAAAACCCAGCAGCTGGAGATGAGAGAGGGCATGAGAATCTGAGCTTTCTTTTAAAGAAAAAGAGTCTCTAGCCCTTGTGGTTCAAGAGAAAAGAATGAAAACATGAAACAAGTTTATCCTAAAGGCTCAGAGGCAGATTTTCAGAGGCAGTTAGACTCCTACAGAAACCAAAGTGCAGCTAGTGGGATTTATAAAGGTCATCTCTCCAGGTTGAAGCACCTACTTCCAACTGCAATGGATGAGAAATTGGTGAAACGGTATGACCCCATGTCTTTCAGCAGCCTATTAGACTAGCTTGTCAATTAAACCAGCAGTGTCTGTCTGCTGCACTACCAAACTGAACAACCACATGCTAAATTTAAGAGTGAACGTCACTTTAATAAACTTTTCTGCTCAGCTGGATGCTTTTTAAGATAGATATTCTTTCATTTTAATCACTTTAAATGCATGTCCATAATTAGCCATTTCCATGCACAGTCACACTAAGGGCAAATAAAGGCCCTGAACTTTGCAAACACTTTCACTCAAGAGTCAGGTATCCAGGTTGTAGCTGTACTGGCCTAGAGGCAAAAGGAATCAAAACTCATGGAAGAGGTAATATCTTTTATTACCAACTAGATATTTGCAAACAAATTATTATATTTACCTGCAAGCTTTTGGGCACATTCACTCCTTCATCAGGCATAGGAGAGAGCAGAGATTGTAAAAGTTCTTCTAGGTAGAAATGAAATCATGTTAGTTGGTCTAATAAAAGATATCACCTCTTGCATGAGTTTTAATTTCTTTTTCCACTGAAGAGTAACTTTTACACAAGAGAGAAGTTCAGTGAGATTATTCATGTGTTTAAACTAAACACGTGGACTGAGATATACAAGGGATGAGTCTGCAACTTTCATGCACAGTTACATGTCTGTGGGTAATGTCTCTCATACAGGCCTTCTAGGTCATAAATTCAGTTTAATAATCAAAAAAGGATGAAATCCTACTATTTGGGGAGTTAAATACTGTTTTAGTATTCCTAACATTTTGCAAGGGTCAGAGGATTGTGGAAGACGGGGGTGAGGATTAATGTCCAAAAAACATCATCTCTGCTATGGAAGTGTCTTGATGGACTCGTTCAGATCATAGATGAGCTTACCTGATAGAAGTAAGTAAATTAAATTACACTGGTGCAAAAAGTAAGCTTGTATTGGTCCAGCAATATAAGGCTGTCAAGGATACATTAGTAACAACACTGGACTATTTTTCCTTTGCTTCTTACTGTATCAGGGTAGGAAACCTGGGTTCAATCCCATACTCCACTGCAAGCTTCCTGTGTGAGCCTGGACAAGTCGCTTAGTGTGCATTTACACTGCAAATGAAGGCATATACCTCACTACCCCGGGTAATGGTAAGGGTGGGGAGGTAGGATCGTAGACTTCAGGAGCCCAAGCACAAGCATGCTCTGGGTCTGTAGCTGGGTTGTTAACCGATGCTGTTGCATTTTCACCACTGTTACCTGTACTGACTGCATTCAACCTGGCAGTGTATGCCACAGAACAGTCCCACCTTGACTTGCATACCCTTAACCTCTCACCCCGGAGGTACGTAGGGGCTGCCATGCCTAACTCCAAGGCATCTGCCACCTAATGGCCTTCTTAGCCCCACCTTACCAGTAGGTGCCCAGGATTTTTGTCTAGAGGATGGGGAGAATTAAGTGCCTTCACAAGGCACAGGTCTCCCTCTGCTCCAGAGCCTGTGCTGTGAATCCTCTTCCCAAATAAAATGCCTACCCCAAGTATCCAGTACTCTGCTTTGAGAATAGCAGCAGCATATAAATGGTGCAGTGAAGTGTCAATAGGGACAGAGAATTGCCCAAGTACTTAAGGTTCTGTGCCTCAATTTTACCATCCATAAAATGGGTCTTTTAGCATTTAACTTGAATAAGTGTATGGAGAGGCCAGAAAAGTTCTGTTGATAGAGTGCAATGATCCTAGTACATGTTTTCCTATTTTAAACAAATCTTCAGAGATTGAATCAACTAATCCTGCAGATCCTACTCAAGCTGCTTGTCCATTAACTTTAGGATAATTTTTTACAGCTCTCAAAATTAAGGGGCATAGTGTAAAGTATGCAGAAAACATTCATTTTTTTTTATCCGTATATGCCAAAGATTCATTACCCTTTACAGTAAAAACAAACAAAAGCAAAATGCAGCTTGTTCATATGCATGTGCTTTTTCCATGCCTGCATGGGTGCTCTCTTGCACTTACTCTATAATCACATATGTCAAACTTAAGCTCTATGCTCACATATGTAAAACTTAAATTCTAATTCTGAAGGGGGAAAGATGCCTAAATATTAGGGCTCTTTTTGGAATTAAAAAAAAAAAAGAAATTCCAATGATGTTTTCTTACTCGATTCTTTAAAATTGGCCACAAAATGGATACACTGAACCAGCAACCGGTATCCATAAAAAGAGCAACAAAGCCAGTCAAATGAAGTGTTTCTGTCTGAGGGGTTAGAAGTGGAAGGACTCGAAGAAGAAATCAACTGGCTGCTGTGGAGCTCTTTCAAAAACGCTGAAGCTTATTGCCAGTAATTCAGTACATACCTGACCAAAAAAAAAAAAAGTTGTCCAACTGGTTTTGTTATTTCAGCTGTGCTGAACAAGGAGAAGCAAACACAGTTTTAGCACTTCAATTAAGTCTGTCTCTGACATTATTTTCAAGTAAATATTGCTAATTGTTGGTATCCCATCAGCAAAAAGATGCTGAGACACAGGAGTTTTGTATGTAACAATTGATTGCAATGTGGTTATTTTTAACGAGGAGGAAATGTGTCAGGTTTAACTGTCCTTCCGTGGACACAAAAGACATTGTGATCGTAAGGAAAAGAGCTGATTTCTTGTTCTCTATGGTGGAACTTGTAATGGGACAGAAGAAGTCTCTCTTCTATTGTTAACAGTCAACCAGATCAATGATTCATGTTATCAGTGGCACAATCTCAATGCAACTTGCCCTAATGCAGATCTTTTTTTTTCTGACTTCAGGAAGTGGGCGGCTGAGCACTGAAATTCTTTCTGCTCCAGTGATATCAACAAGTGTAAAAGAAAGTCAAATGCTAATTTGCTGCTTTTGCACGCCAAACTACCAGGAAGAAGAATGCCTTTGGATTTATTTTATTGCAGTTTTCGAGATGGAATTACTAGTAAGAACTATGTGAGAGGCAGGGGGATTTTTTTTGGAAGGGAGTGATCGCTTTTATTGGAGCAACTGCAGGAAGGGAACCTTGTGTCCACAAGCATGTCTACAATCTCTCCCAACTATGCAGTTGATCCAATAAGAGTTCACCCCCCGCCAAAAAAATCCTTCCCTCACATATTTGCTGGACCATCACAGCTACACCATCCTTCCCAACACTAGAAACAGCTATAAGGTTTGTGTGGACTTGTCTTAGGCTCCAAAATCTTCCTCCAAAAGGCTAGTAATAACCCCAAATGCAGCATTAGCAAGTAGCTGCAGATTTTATGGTCGCATGACAACTTTAAAGTAATTATATTGCTGTGATTGTCCCATTGCAATTCTCTGTGGCAGATGTTAAAACCAAAATAACATGTAAACTTATACTGGGAAAACTTGAAGCTTGCATTCATTCATACCCAGGTAAACTAAAAAACTTAAAGAAATTAATTGAAGGTGGAGAAGGGTCGGAGTATACTGATCACCAGACAGCATGGAGACAGCTTATCTCTTTGATCAAAAGATACTGGTTTTAAATCACAGGTAAACAGCCCTCTGAAATGTATGACTAAACTGCAATCACCAACAGTCTTTTTTTTACCCACTCTAATTGAATAAGTGAAGGTGTGGGGTTAGTGCATTTTAACAAGGTTACCAAGTCACCATGCTATATTATAAAGTGTTTATCCCACACACTAACCAGTTACCAAATAGAGTATTAAATAATTTAAAAAAACAGTGAAGCTATGTAACCACCTCTTATAGGTGTGTCTGCTATGTAGAGGAGTGGTTTTGCTGGCTATTTATTTAGCCCAGTTATTCAGTTGCTTAAGTTAACATGCATATGCAAATACTCGGGATGTTCCCTAAACTATGATTCTTTAGAAAAGCTGAATATGGGGAGAGGCAAAAATTCCCTCAGTTCTTGTCTGGGTTTTCAGAAATGGAGCAGAATTTTTATAAAGCTTCCTATTTGTTAGGGCACGTCCACTTTATTCAACAAAGGGTCCCTCCCTTCTACACAGGGTGTTTTTTGGAAATGTGATTGCTGCTAGTAATACAGAACAATGGTTGAAAGAAATTAAAGACTAAGTCCGATTTAAAAAAGACTTTTCTTATCCTTAAACTAGCCTTTTATTTTTGCACCAGAGCACTGTTGGAAGTCCCTATCTTTTTGTGGACTACATATAAAGAAATATGTTCCTTTGACTTTACTATTTGGACATGGGAATGATGTGTTTGTTGGTCAGATTATAAGGGAGACTCTTTTATTTGTTATTTCAGAACCTGACTTGGCTTTTATTTAACTTCTGTTTGCACTCCTTTCTCAGCCGTGTGAAGGGATCTCGACACTCTTCTAGGGAGTCTTCAAAGAGAAGCTGACAGAATCATGGTGGAAAACCTATTTCACCATAACTTGGCTAGTTAATTTTCTAGTATATGTGTGAGGTAGTTTTTTTGCTGGTAAAAATCCTCTGTTAACAGAACCTTCCTTTCTGCCCCTCTGCTAAGAGAAAGAAGAATGGATCTGGCAGCTGATCCCTGGAGAAGCTAGCGCCTTCCAAGGGTGCAATTCATGTCCTGCCAGTAAAACATCCATAAGTGTTCATATGTGTGCATGGACTTGTCCCATGGTGATGGTAGCTCCTGTCTGCCAACAGAACTTCCGACAGAAGAGGTGGGTCAGTATATACAAGGCCAGAGACAAGACCTGGAAAAGAAGAGCATTTGTCACCTTAAACTTGCTGTAGCTATACTAATGAGATGAAATACCTTAAAACAGACATCATTTTAACACCTTCCTCTTGACTGTCTAAAACAAGAATTGCATTGTTTTAACTAGTGTGGGTACAGAGGTACTAATAATATCACTTCTTCACACGTGCAAAGGAGAATCGGTTACATGGGTATAAACACCTTCATAAATCACTACAACTGCACTTATATTAAGGCTGTACTGATGTAAAGATCACACTTCTAGCCTATCCGGATACCCAAATGTTGTGTCTGTCTGTGTTACGCATTCAAATTAAACTGAGAGTAATACTTTTCAACTGCAACTGTGTATATGGTTCTCCAGTTTGTGACTCCAATCATGGGAAAACCAGGAGTAATAGCCACAAACTCCTGGAAGATGGATTCAGGCTCAACATTAAGAAAAAATTCTTCATAGTCAGGGTGTTCAGACTGTGCAATAAGCTCCCTCCAGAGGTGGTGCAATCGCCTACCCTGAAAATCTTCAAGAGGAGACTGGACGGTTACTTTGCTGGGGTCACCTGACCCCTAGTTATCTTTCCTGCTTGGTGAAGGGGGCTAGACCTGATGATCTTCCAAGGTCCCTTCCGGCCTTACAATCTATGAAAAGTGCCAGCCTCAAACATTCAGAAAACCTTGGGATTGACTTACATGTAAAACAGCACCGTCTCAAACACATTTGGGGTACTTCAGTTACCACCCAGGTTGTGGAACATTCAGGTGCTAGTCAGAGATGCCCTCAGGCTTTTCTATACAAACCTGAGATTGGAAAGTTATTTTTAAAAGAATAAAAGCTGGGATTGCCACATATTCACTTAAGGACAAGAGCGGAGGCTTTACAAAATGCACTGAACGCCACAGGAGTCCAATAATACCATGGAGCCGCACTGTGCTACTTTTTCCTCTGTCTACTTCTGATTCGAGACAACTCAGCTACCATGGCAAGAATGTGGTGGCAGTGGGAGATGAGGCTTTCTGGTGCCCCATACTCGCCCTTCCCTTGGGAAGGGCAGGAATGGCATTTCCTAGAGACTGCCTTACCATCACCACACCATCCAACCCCAGCAGGGTGTAGTTTTAAGTCATGACCCAGGACCATGAGCCTCCACCTTCTCTATAGCCCCTTCCCTGTACCTCTAAGATGTTATGAGCAGCGGGTCCAACCAGGTGATGCTATCTCCTTGGCTGCTTGCAGCAGATTGCCAGCTTTGCTGCTCAGAGCCCTGTTCTTATAATAAACAGCTGGGCCCTGTTCCCAATCAGGCAGTTGTGCCTGATTGGAAGTGCAGTCACCTGCAAGCTGCTCCACTGCTTGCTCATGCCCCTGTGAGTAACAGAGCCCAACTTGTGCTCTGTTACAACCTCCCTTTCTCTCTTCAGCTATATGAAGGTAAGTGTCATTTCTTAGCCTGTATTCATTTTGAGAAAATGTATTAAATAAAAAGTTCCTTTTTCAATAACTAATCTCTCTAGAAGTCAGATAATATGGGGTTCAGTCACAAAATACCTGTAGTGTTGGGTTTTCTTATACTGGTCATAAAATGTCTGAAATGATGTACTTATTAGGCGCATCTACATGAGATGCTATACTGCCATAATGATGAGCTACAGCAAGGTAGCATCAGCAGGCACAAACCATGACACCAAGCAATGAGCTACTGCACAGTACCTCACTGCTACTGTGCAGTAGGGTCAGAAATGACCCATGTGCTGCTGGGACTGCGCAGTTCCAGTGGTTACTGCGAAGTCACTTACTACTTTCTGAGGCAGGGGCTGGGGAGGGAGGAGGGTCAACAGCCTCTTGGGAGGCTGCTGGAGCACCCCCACCTTCTGGCCAGGGTTTGTGCCTGTGGGATCGAGTCCCTCCGACACAACAGGTGTATGCTTCTTGGGTTCAGTGGTGCTCTAACTCATGGTGCTTTCTGGAAAGTGCCATGAGTTAGAGTGCCTCCCCAACAGGCTGCCTAAAGGTCTGTAGGTACCCTGTGATTAAGGAAGATTCCTGGGAGGTGTGTGGGGGATGACATATTTACATCTGTAATACAAAACAATTAGCTGTCGAAAATAATAGAGAGCATTTGAAATTGAGTCAAATGGGACCTGGAACATAACTGTGTTCCCAAAGAAAAGAAATGCAAAATATCTTGAAATATCTAGGTGTTTGGTTAGGGTCTTATCCCCAAAAAACATTTTAAATGACTGAAAACAATTGCAAGTGTATGTGAAGGCATTTCACTACTTTCTAAAATCATGGCAGAGTAAAGAGAGAAGGAACCATTCTTTTTGACTCTGAGCTAAAATCCTTTCAGTTCTGTTTTGAGTGCTACAACTAAATAATCTATGCTCATATGGAAACATAGTTGCAGAATGAAGTAAGGAGAAAGTGGTAGATTGCTGAAAGAGAAGAAAGAAAGCAAGAAAGAAAGAAATCACCCCAAAACATATTAGAGTAAAATTATTTCATCTAGTCTGCATGGAATATCTAACTTTCAGTATATATGGTTGCCACTAACTGCATAATAAATTCAGTTGGTGCCAAGTAGCAGAGCATAATGTAGTCAAAAAATCAACTGTACCTAGAGAACTCAAGATCTGAGAATTTAACTCTACATATAAATGTCTACAGGCATAAAAATAAATATAGAACTATCATGACATCCTTACCCATATATTTTCTACCCAGAAAACTTGCTGCCACAAACTCCTACTTCCAATTTACATTAAGGGAAGTTCTTTTTTCTTGCTGTCAACACTAGGCCAATTTTTAAGTAACTCTAATGTAGCCAGGGCACTGACCTTAACCACTGAATCACACTCATTTACGAGTTTGGGTCTGCAGTCCTTGGGCAAACAATCTTCACATGAGCAGCAAAACTGATTTCAGCATGACAACTATCATGTAACAAAGAAAAGAAGAAGAAAAGAAATGAACACTATTCTATTGTCCTTCTCTAATTGTTCATATGGCACTATCCTGGGTTTCTGAGTTATGATCATAAATGCAAAAATGTTAAAGCTAAACGGTTCCTTTTTTTTCCCCCCTTTAATGTGAGGTTACATAAATGAAGAAGTAAAACACACAGCTTGGTATGTGGAGATGGACTTCTGCAAACACTTTTTATATACTTCATTTACAATGACCTTGGTGATTTCCAGACTTGATGTAAACAATGAGATGGAGATGAAGCATCTATAATGTGGAATGCCCAAACTGGAAAACAAGGGGGAAATCTTTAAACACGGATGTGGGTGGTGTTCAATACATGCCAATTGTTTTGCAGAGTATCATTATGCAAATCGAATAAGGTGATCAGTTTCAATGGATGGCTTGGATTACTTGGGCCCAATTTATCTACTGAGTTTTTAGGATCCTGTTGCACAAGGTCCTAGCAAAGAGTTCCTCCAGGCAACACGGTGCACTTATTCCTTTCCACCCCAGCTCCAGTAGAGAGAAATATTATGTCATAGTGGACAGGGGCATGGCATAGCTCCATTAGACTATGCTAATCATACTTGTCACTGGTGTAGGTTACATCTGGAAGCCTATATCAGCTGGAGCTGGCCTTGAGAATCGGGGAACTATGACAGTCTACCATATTTTGGGCCTACTCTCCTATGTTCTGAGGACAATTCTGGTGTAGGGTCAAAAAATTTGTCTCTCTTAACAAACTCTATCTTGTCTCTATTTGTCTGTCTCTATCTTAACAAACCATAAAGTCTTTGCCTTCTGGGATGGCCTGCATAAATTCCAGGCCTATGTTTTATGGGAGACTTTGGATGTGTGAACTCAAAGCCCGATTGGGGAAAAAAAATGTTAACACCTTTACTAAATGGTCCAAATTTAGCTGATAAAAAGCAGGAAAGATTTTGCCACTGCCTTCAATGCACGTGAGACTCCAAGTAAAAGCTCAGCATCCCACAAACTCTAGCTAATATTGGCTAACATTTCTGATGTTTCAAATACTTGGGTGTTTTTTTAATTCCTGGTAGGCGCCTACTTGCATCTTTAGCCACCTACCTAGTCTCAACAGTTGATTTAGGACCTGGACTTGTAAGGAACAGAGCACACAGTGCATTGCAGGATTGGACCCTATTTATCCAGGAAGCAATGAGAAAACAAATGTCTTTTTTTAGACATATGCAATATGTCTGTGTCAATAACAAAAATTGTCTCTGCCAGTAACAAAGATTTTATGAACAGGTTTCCCCTGAAGGCATTCAGAGCAGAGTCTTTGAGTCATTTCAGATATAATAATAATTTTTCCTCGTATAACAAATCTTGCCAGCAAGTCTGTGCTTTTGTCCACCCTAGGGTTTTCTGGCAAACACTCCCCACAGCTGCTGACACTATTGCAGCTCCTTCCATGGAAGTAATGGTGGGGCCAACAGGCCCCATGACAGCCAGCACCCTTAACACCCTGCCAGCTAAAACTTCTCTGATGTCAGATACCTGACCACCTTCCCATCATTACTGTATTGGAACACCTCACCATCTTTAATACTCCCATCTATCCTCGAGGTAAGACAGTGCTATTAGTTATCTTTGGAGACGACAGGCACAGAAAGCATGATGCCCAGATATGTTAGGTGCCCAGTTCCTATTGGGATTTGAGTTCACATGACTTGCCTAGCACCACACAGGAAGCAAGGGACAGCGCACGAAATAGAGCCTGTATCCACCATGCTAACTACTGGATCCCCCCGCCTTGAGGGTGTATGTTAAATCTTCAAGGGTTTATTTTTCTCTTTTTTACTTTTTCTTTCCCTCCCCTGGGGTGGCCTATTTCTGCTTCCACTGAGTTCAATTAATCACCCCTCCTGCTTTAGCATGGGGTAGCCAAACTGTGGTTTGTGGGTTCCATGTGGCTCCTGAGCAATTTAAATACAGTTGCTGAAGAGAGAGGAGGAGCTAAGTAAAAACCATTATTTTTCTCTCTGTTGGCTTGTGATTGTCTATTTCTGATTTTCTCCTCATTTATTTGAACAAGTTTTTAACAACATAGTCTCATTTGAGCCACAGCCCTATCATTGACTCTAGCTATGTGCAACTCAAAAATTTTGTGTCCTGGCTTGGTTATCACAGCCTTCCCTGCAGTAGGATCCATTCCCAAAGGTACAGGCATAAGGCAAAAGTGTGTTTGGCTAAGTACAGACATTCAAAAAGCCTGCGCCTGAATTGATTCAATCTTTGCAAATTAATCTAACCTGCAGAGATTGAACCGCCAAGCAAATGAATAGATGTTCACTTTTGATTCCAGAAATGCAGGCACACCCCTGCAGTGGCTCAGGCTAAAAGCCAGGGAGTGCTAGAGCAGCCCTCCCTTCCCTTCCACGGTGGCCAAAGGAAGCTGAGCTGGGGGACAGGGGCTAGTCTGAGTATGTCTGGGGAGGGGTTTAAAGTCCGATTCTGGACTGCAGGGACCCCAGCCTGGAGGTGGAGGCAGGAAACAGCCCTTGCCAGGCTTTTGGGAGGTGGGGAGCATGGCCAGACCCTGGCCCCCAGCCAGATGCCAATCCAGCATGGCCCACTGAGGCAAAGGGGGCAGGGAGGGTGTTTATTCCACCTGCAGTTCCCCTCTCCCTCCAGGGTCTGCCTGGCTGAGGGCAACCAGCGGAGGTAGCAGCCAGGGCTGGCAGACCCCAGATGGGGTCCTTCAGTGGGAGAGGGGAGGGCCGGGGGAATAAATCCTCTCCTTGTCCCCTTCAACCCAGGGAGCCATGCTGGGCTGGTGTCTGGCCACACTCCCGCTCCTGCTCCAGCTAGACAGCAGCGGGGCAGGGCCAGCCCTGCTCTCTGAAGCAGACAGCACAGCCCAGCCCAGCCCAGGGCTGCAGATCATGCTGGGATGCTGGGGGACTCTGGTTTAACTTAAATCAGGAAAGGATCTGACACAGAAGTTCAGTAAACCAGTTTGATCTCAATCAGTTAAGTCTGATACTACATTCAACCAGGTTTATCTTAACACAGTTTTGGCCATTTTCAAACTGAATTTCTGTTTTGTTAAAGGTTTAAACCAATTTCTGATTACTTAAACTGGTTGATGTGTAACTTCTGTCCCTAATCTTCGAGTGCTCAGCACTATCTCATCACCAGACATTCTCGCCCCTTTGCCAGCCCCTAAATTTCCACATCTGTATCTCATATCACCTTTGTACTTGAAGAGCAGAGGAAGAGTATCTGAGTACTAGCAAGCATACCTCT